CCTAAAATAGAAGAACCAAACAAGAACATCCTCCAACATAGTAAGTGGAGTAATTGCTAGTCGACGGGTTGACGCTGTAACAATTGCGTTCCACCAAAATTGACCAGATTAACACCGTTAAATTCCACTCATATCTTCCCTCGGTAGCAGCGTGGGCCCACGATTAACAGGAACAAACGCTCCGCGGCTGTGCCGTTAAACCCATGTCCGAACGAACATCATCACGCGTGTTTTAAAATTCCACGAAAACTCCTTTCACATTCTCCAGCACATATAAGCCCTCGCCCCACGCTTAAACGCCATTGCATCATCACTTATTCCATTTTTCCAGCTAGTCGGAAAGAAAGAAAGAAAGCTCTCAACAGACGCTTTCATCAGATCTGATCTAACCCAACGAGTCAACTCGGATTGTCCGTTCCAGATGTCGACGACGACCACCCCCATAACGACGTCGTACTGGTGCTACCGATGCACCAGATTTGTTCGGGTCTGGGCTGAGCATAACGTTGTCTGTCCCTACTGCGACAGTGGGTTCATCGAAGCTCTGGATTCCAGTCCCCCCTCGCCGTTGCCGGAGTTCCCGAGAAGATCCGACAGTGTCAACCTCAGGTTTCGCCGGAATCGCCGGAACCGTGGCGACCGGTCTCCGTTCAATCCTGTGATAGTTCTTCGAGGACAAGCTGAAACTGTAGGAGAGGACGGTGACGGAGACGGTGGTGGTGGAGGAGGAGGAGGAGAAAGAAGCTACGAGCTGTATTACGATGATGGGACCGGGTCGGGCCTCAGGCCACTCCCCTCGAGTATGTCGGAGTTTTTAATGGGCTCCGGGTTCGACCGTTTACTCGATCAACTGGCGCAGATTGAAGTCAACGGGTTAACAAGGCCGGAGAACCCGCCGGCGTCGAAATCGGCCATCGAATCGATGCCCACGATTGAAATAGTCTCGACCCATGTAAATTTGGACTCCCACTGCGCAGTGTGCAAAGAAGCCTTCGATTTGGGTTCCGAAGCTCGAGAAATGCCGTGCAAGCACATATACCACTCCGACTGTATCCTTCCGTGGCTTTCTCTTCGCAATTCTTGCCCTGTTTGCCGACACGAATTGCCGGCGGAATCACCAACGGGGCTGTATTCCGATTCGGGAAATACGAACCGTGCTGAGGAAGCAGTTGGGCTGACTATTTGGAGATTACCCGGAGGGGGTTTCGCGGTGGGTAGATTTAGTGGCGGGAGGAGGACCGGAGGAGGGACCAGTGAAGAAAGAGAACTGCCAGAAGTATATACAGAAATGGATGGAGATTTTAGTCACGGAAGCGGCAGCAACAGCGTCGGCTTGCCGCGGAGGATCGTGTGGGGTTCGAGGCGGAGAAATGGGGGCAGAGACGGTGGTGGCGGCGGTGGAGGAATGGGGAGGCTCATTAGTAATTTCGTTTCATTTTTCAGGAGATTTAGGTCCAGAGGTCGAATCAGTAGGAGTCGGAGCGTGGCGGGTTCGGTTTCGGAATCAAGTTTTAGTAGGTACGTGGGCCAGCGGAGTGGAGGTTTGGTTGTTGAAGAACAGAACGAAATGGCTCGATGGTAGCTTCTGATAAAGAAAATTATTGCTAATATATATATATTGTATATTTTTTTGGGAAGAAAATTTAATTGTGAAAAAAGAAGAGGCCAGTTTGGTGGTACCATGTAAATAGGGGAAGAAAATGTATGTTGTATAATTAAAAAGCTCTTTTATTTTTTAATCAGGTTGAAGATAAACGAGGTTGGAAGAGATTTTGGGTGTATCAGTGTTGGGAAATGAGGTAGTGGTGGTTTATGAATTTCGGAACCAAAAATATGTCCGTAGCTTATTTTTCCTAATGATGGAATATTTATTCATTCTTTAGTTGGTACGAAATTAATTATTCTATCGTTTTTTTCCAAATCCAGTTTATTCCTTTTTTTAGTCTGTGGGAATTGGTTTTATCATCTTTATTATATAGTCTTTATTTATGCTCCAATAGGGGAATATCGTATGGTAGGCATGTGAGAAATAAGCAGCGGGAGCTCTTGAAACTGCCCTATCGCAGAGGCAACTGGATATTATTAGATGGATGTCAAGGCCCCATTTGGCATTTGCAGCAAATAATTGACCTTTGCTCCCTGTTTATGAGCTGCAATTTTGGATTTTCCCCGCAGGTTTGCAAGTGAACTAGGAGTTTAGTTAGTGCAATCATGTTCAATTTTTGTGATCTGAACGCTTATCCTCCTCCGATGGACTATTTTGTAAATTTGTCTTTTTATTTTTACTTTTTTTTGGGGGGGGGGGGGTGGGATTGGAGCTAGGTTGTCAATTAACAACATCTCCATGGCATGGCGTACAAGACGTAGTCGTAGTGGTTCAATCGCTTTTCCAAAGAGTCAGCTTTTTCCCTTTCTTCTCTTTTCTGTGTGAATGGAAATGGGACGGTGGTAGTGGCTTCTGTGTGTGAATTTGCTTTTTAAAGTGTCCTTGCTTTTCTTTAATTCCTTTTTCCACTGTAGAGAAACTGTATGATAATAATAATAATAATAATAATATGTTTCTAGCTTTCTTTTTTCCTTTTTAAAAAAAAAAAATAAAATTAGGGTGGTGGGGACTGGGGAGGGGGCTGGACGGCAGTCGGGCGGGGGACAACTTGCCAACATGTAATTTCCTTTGATGAGAGTAGCAAGTGTAATGTTCAGTAATTTCATTGTTGGGATATCCTCCTCCATGGTCCATTCATTCCATGGCTCCATCATTTGTTTTCCTGTTGGGCTGCTTGTCTCTACCTGAGCAAATCTTGAATTTGGCCGTGTGAATCCTTGATTGGTACTCTACTAGAATAACAACATTTGTAGTAGACTGGTGGGATTTGTCTAGTTTTTCTTACGCGTCAAAACTAACCAATAAGAAGAGATGCTATCTGATTATAGGGAGTGCCTTTACCTTATTATCGTTCTCATTCATTCCTCCGCTGTATGTTTTTGTTTTGCCCCACCTCATGAAAATGAAATGCGTCGGGATGGGATTGAGTAACAGAAACAGACATTATTGTCAACCTTCTGGATGCAATGCCACCGCTCATTACAACAATACATATTTGGATTTTAAGTCAGTCAACTAAATAATAATTGATAAATATTAGAAAGAAGGCTGTTCTGAGCGAAGGCTGCTGCTGCTGCTGCTGCGGGATGGCCAAATGATGATATTAATTGTCAAACACCGTGAACGTGCAGCTGTTTCAAATCAAATCGTTTCAGTGAAAGAGACGAACTGCCCTTTTGTGGCAAATAAAAGTCTTCAAGAATTGAATTCACCCTCTGATTCTTTCACAGCTCAATTTCCCTTTTTAGCTAAACTTTTTTTTTTTGCCAACACGAATTTCACAAAAAAATATTCAATTATTTAGTCAAACCCCTCCTCTCCCCCCGCCCCCTCTTTGGGGTAACTTGAACAGATTAAAGTTGCGCATATACTACGTGAATGTCGACGGGAACAAAAAATAGCAAGTCTTACCTATTACAATATGAAATTCTGAATCTTTGAAACAATAACTGAATAAATTATTACTAAAATTGAACAATAACTGAAGATTTGATTCAAAATGATTTTATCTAGAACCTATAAATTATGCGACAAATTCTCATTGGACTGTTTTGTAAAATCCTCCCTACTAGAACACTACCAGGCATCGGGCAGAGCAGAGACACGTTTGACAAGTCGAGAAAGTCCAGATTCTTGGACCCGGTCAAATATGATCGGATCTTACAGCCACAGCATGGATTTGAAACTTGGACAACCACCCGCTTAACTTCTACGGACGCCATGTGCAATCGAGGATGGGCTTCCATTCACAGGTCCCTCTTTGTGAATCCAGTCCAATCACGACCCATTATTTTCTCAGTTGACTTGTCAGTTGGTTGCACAAATTGAATGATGATGTGAACCCACGACCGGACGATTGAGATCCTTCACCGGCTGACATTCACTCCCAACCCGCCGATTGAGATCCTTCGCCGCGCTTTGTACCACTTCCCCGCTCCTAAATTTACCCCTGCCGCATGAAAGAAACAAAACAGATACATACGCATCTGGGCTATTATAATAATAATAATAATCTAATGACTTCACTAGGATTAGGTCATGCAGCGAAAGTTTGTACCATATCTCTTACCAAAAAAAAGAAAAAAAAGAAAGTTTGTACTATATCAAGAAAAGAAAAGATTGGTTTGGCCAAAAGGTTGGAACACCCTAAGTAGTGATAAATAAAAGATTGGTTATAAAAAAGGTCACGTCCGAATTCTGTTATTGATGCAAGAGCTGTATTAGAGGATGATTCGTAAACTTTTGTAAGTGACAAATGATTCAAAAATTTGCTTTGACTTGTGGTTTGGAAATTAATGTATCCAAACTTTTTCGTAAAAAAAAAAAAGGGACAGTGTTACCAATTTTTCCGAAATTAACATCCCTAGGTAGCAAGGACGTGTTTTGGGTTAATATCTTCTCTTCATCAGACAAAATTAGATTGGGCTATTAATCTCGTACAATCTCATATATGATTCATTCCTACGTAATAGTTTTTTATTCATTCCTACGTAATAGTAGTTATTTAAAGAATTACCATCTTATACACTAGACCAGGATGACAATATATGACCTCAATATGACATGCTAATTGTATAAATAATGTTTGAAACAATTTACACTCAGTACTCTGTTTCTCAATGGTCCTAACGATTTTGGCTTCTCTCCTTCAACCCAAATTTTCTTGTAAACCCTTGAAACTCATCCCTTGGCGGCTCCAAATAACAAAATCACAATCTCGAATGGTCATACATACACCAGCTATTTTTCTCACTTTTCACTCTTTTTTCTTTTTATTGTGTCCTATAAATATAACTCTCCATTTATACTTTTCCCTCTCCGGTCCTCCCCCTTCTCGGACCCTTCCTTCCAAGGCAATTACTCATTCGCTCGAAAATAGAAAGAAAAAAGAAACAATCGCTTGTCGTTCAGTAGTTTGATTATTCTTCACAATTTAATTTTTCCTTTATACATTTTGAAAGCATATATTTGATTTTTTATCGTCGGACGGAACAATCGGTGGTTCAAGGTTTGTACTGCCTAAGAAAATTTGGGCAGGTATCGTATTTTTCAGCTACTAGCAACAAAGTAAAGATCTCTCCTTCTTCATACTTTCAACAGCCAGCACAGAAACTAAAATCCCACCGACAAAAGTCAAATCTTTTTCCCAGCAATTCTCAGCTCAAACCCAAACCAGTGAGTCTTTGCTTTTTCTCTTCCTTGTGTAATGCTGACATGTTTTTTTTTTTAAAGAATAATGCTAGTTTGATCTGATTTGTGCTGGTTACTCGTCAGGCATCCATTTTTTGTGTTGTAGTGAGTGGGTGCTTTTTTTGTTGGAGTAGATATGATGCGGATGAGAACTAAAACTATGGGAATGGGATTGGGAATCCCACCGACAGATAGTACGGCCGCAAACGGCGCCGGCGGAACTGGAGGAGGAGGAGGAGGAGTTGATGGGAATTGGGAGATGAGGCCTGGTGGAATGCTGGTTCAGATGCGAACTGATTCGGATCAATATCGACCTCCTCCTCCTACTATCCGGGTTAGGGTCAAGTATGGCTCTGTTTACCATGAGATAAATATTAACTCACAATCAAGCTTCGGTAAGTCAAACAATTTTCGTGAAGTTTTCAATTTTATGTCCGCCCTTTTTTCTTCTTTGATTTTGATGAGTTGGTTCTATTTTTGGGGAGCTGAAAAGGGGAGTTGAAGAAGATGTTATCTGGGCCTACTGGATTGCACCATCAAGATCAGAAATTGTTGTTCAAGGATAAAGAGAGGGACTCAAATGCTTTTCTTGATACTTCGGGTGTGAAAGATAAATCCAAAATTGTGCTGGTGGAGGACCCAATTAGCCAAGAGAGGAGTACCTTGAGATGAGAAAGACTGCTAAAATGGAGAAGGCCGCTAAATCTATATCAGAGATCAGTTTGGAGGTTGATAGGCTAGCTGGACAGGTAATTTATTTAGTCCCTTTCTTCGTTTTTGCTAATTCCTGTTACGTATCATAAAGTGCAGGTCTTGGTAAGTCCTTCCTTCCTTCTTCTTCTTCTTCTTCTCCTCTTCTTTTCCCCCCTTCTCTCTCTTTTTGGTTCTTGCTAAGCTGTCCAAAGACGTAGACTTTCATGATTGTTATTAGCAGACCCGCAATTAGTAATTACTGAATATAGTCAACTCATTTTGTTTAGGTGTCAGCGCTTGAATCTGTAATTTCTAGAGGTGGAAAAGTTGCGGAAAAGGATGTATTAAATCTGATCGAGCTATTGATGAATCAACTTCTTAAGTTAGATGGAATTATTGCGGATGGGGATGTCAAACTGCAGAGGAAAATGCAGGTATAACTGAACTTCGTTCTAGTTTTGTACAAAGGACTTTGATTATTCTAGTCTAGGGCATGGACAAATGTAAAATTTCTGATTTTGAAGGTGAGACGAGTACAGAAGTACGTTGAGACTCTGGATATGTTGAAGGTAAAAAACTAGCTCCAATCAGTAATGGCAATGCTGCAAGCCTGGGAAATCACATCCCCATGCAGCAGCTGTCATCACCAACCCAACAGCTGTCTTCGCCTGTCCAACAGCAGCAACAGAGGTTTTCTCGTGATCATCTATCATCCTCAGTTGAACAACAGCAGGGTAGGCATTCCTTTGGGTCCCAATGCAGCCGCAGCAACAACTGCAACCATCAAGGCACTCAGCTTCGAGCCATGTTCTGATCACCACTCAATGGGAAACTTTTGATTCCATTCCCGCACCAGTGCCTCCTGGATCCAAAGCTTCAACAAGTACCTTGGGTTCAGCTCAACCTAGATTCAACTGGGATTTGCTTTGAGTACGCAAAAGGCCTATTTAATATCAGCACTGTGTGGATGCCTTTTTTTTTTTTTTTTTAAAGGTGGTTTGATGCCTATTCCCAATTCTTTGCTGTATCTAGAGTTTTTTTAGCGTCCCCTTTATGTGCCCATTCAGTTGACAAATAATTGGGGATTCAGTTAGAGTCATTGATACTATCAGTTTTCTTTCTCCTGTTGTGTTGTATTCATTACCACTTGTAAGTTTTCCGCAATGATATAGGGAACGATAGGTTGAGATTCTTACATAGGATTTTCCATGATGGAAAAATGTATTTGGACAAAATATTCTACCAAGCGATAATTCTTTTTCCTTTCTATGCCTCTCTTTCTATAGATTAAGCAGGTTAATTACTGGATCGCATATTATTGCTATTGGAAGTTATAACAAGATAAAAGCAATTCATATAAATGGTTAATCTTATCCATTATTGGGCAGAAATTGACAAAGGGAACATAAATTAGGAGGCTCTTCCATGAGCAGAATGGCTGGCCCTGCTCTCTGATAGACGAGTGAAGTGGCTTTGCACATAGCATAGGAGTGAATCGGTTAAATGGTGAGAATCAGCATCTCTCAGATCAGGTGATCTTGATTGGGTAATATGAAAACTGTTGTGTTCTATTTTTTTTTAGGTTAAGAAAACCTAAACAGACATAAGCTTTTTTCACCAGGGTATCATTTGACATATGCTGGGTCCAGACTGGTTACTTGAGCCATATCTGGCTGGCAAAATTTTTTTTCCTTTTTTTTGTTGTGCTGATATTGTTGATGGTACATCAAATGTTTAATTCATGTTTAAGCAAAACCTAGTCAGCTTGAATTTTTGGTAAATGTGATTGTTCAGAAACAATGCATTCTGGATTAGAATTAATGTTAAGATATTGAAACGTGCAAGCAAAAATGGCAGCACCAGCAGTAGTTTCTTTAGATGGACAAGACGTATTCCTTCAGCTACATCCCTTGCCTGTTTGCTCACTTTGAGGAAATCAATGATGGCTTTTTCAAGAAATGCAGCAGATGATTGATAAAACCATGCTGATGAAGTGGGATGAACTGAAAAATGTAAAATGTTACATGCAATTGTTTCCTTACATGACAAGGTATATATATGTGGTCCATCATGGTGGTCAAAGGACATAACTGGTTTAAGTTATTATTGGTTTGAGAAGACTCTAGTTAAAAGGAGTTACACAATGTGGATTATTGGCTTTTGCTGATGTAACTTGCAGGCTAAAGTTTTGTAATTACAGTATCTGTTATGACAGCTTAATGTGATAAGCCACTTAATTCTTCCTGTCCGTTAACAGACATCTTGTTTGTTTAACTCTGAGATGTATTTTCATGCTTCACACACTTGAAAAGGGCTTAGATTATTATCTTAACCACTAAGTTAGAGACTCTATCTTAAGATCCAGTTAATTTTTCTGAGTCCTGCAAGGATGAATGTGAACTTCGGATTTGCTTTGCTACCATCTAATCCTCCATTTCCTTTCTTTCTTTTGATGGGGGCTGCTGTGAATCTGACCTTCAAACAATCAAATAAAGAGGGTGGAGGCAAGTAGACAAAATTGTTAGTGTTGTTCTTATTTTGATAAGAAAGTCATAAGATGTATTTAAGATTTGGAGAGTAGATAATACTTTGGTATGACAGTTATGTGGTGTCTCAGGAAGTTATGTCCCTACATCTAAAAAATCTACCTATGTTGTTTAAGATGAATATCTAATTGGGTCCCAAGGATTTAAATGGATCTTATTCTCTTCTAGGTTGTGTTAATGCTTCATTGTTGTACAGCTGTTGGAGATTTGGAGTTGTTTAGTATGTAGATCGATCAGTCAGGAAATTAAAAACAGTTAAAGACTGCAAATTAGGTTTGCAGTAAGCATCAAAAGAATGATCAGAGGCTCTATGTGTTCTCCTCGCTAGTTAATATGGGAGTTTTGCCTTTATGGTTCCATGTATTCTTAATTCCTGCAATGGTGGTATCTAAACAACTTTTTTACTTGTGCTGTTGTTTTAGACTTGTGTGTCTTTGTGATCTGGCTTGAGTGTAAGATGATTCAGTCTCACTGTTTTTATAGTTCTTAGAAAGAAAACGAGTAGAATCCAAATCTGCATCTGTATATGCTAGTTTTGGTTTGCCTTTATTTTTTTGGTTAAATTTGACTGACACTAGAAAGTAGCTGACCTAGTAGACTATTCAAAAGAAAGGCGGGCTTGTTGCCGCTTACTCCATAAAACGAAAATATTTAGAGACACGGCATATTACGTACATACATGAGATGGTAAAGTTAAAAATTTTTCTCCAGTTCTTCTAATCCATTCACCTAGTGAGGGAATTAATTTTCTTGACGGAGCTGTTCATTGTGAATTTATGAGGTCTGCAAAGTTATTGAGAGGTAAAAACTTACTGAGTTGTAAGACCTGTTATACTTGGATCTTTTGGAATTCATATTCAAAACTGTTAAAAATGGGGCTCAAAAGTTAGACAGTTGAGAAAAAGACAATAATGACCACATATTTGCCCATGAATAAATTCTATTGTAATACAATGTCATGGAAAGTCATGCTGTGAACTTGTGCATGTGTAAGTGGTACCGGAAACATATATGATGGTTTTTGTATGTGATATGTAGCCTGGTCACTTTGTTATATTTATGTACCTATTTTCTGGCATAGTAAATATGCATTTTTGACTGGGGCGTTGCTCTTTCTTAAGGTGTTTGCTTTAAAAACTTGGCCTTCTAATCGCACTCGAGGCATGTACCATAATTTGCCTTGACAGCAGCCCATATCTGCCTTATGTGGATGTAACTCAAGGAGAAATACAATCTAACGGTGGAAATCCTGCTACATGGATGCTTTAAGCATAGGGAGCCGCATGCATTTTATTGCCTGGCCTTTGCTTCTTCTGTGAAGTAGTGTTTTCCTTGCACTTGAACTCAAGACATGTGAAATCACAAAAACTGCTGTTTGCTGGGGAGTATTTGGCTTGGAAATGCCTAATTCATGAGCCCTTGGAATGACTCGAGTGCCTACCTGCAACCTTTTTAGTAATGCTGTGTATATGTCTAACTTTTGTTTTAAATTGACTCCTTTACTGTATTTTGTTGTACAAATCTGAATCAAAATTAAATGGATCATATGTGGTAAAAAATCTCTCCTCTCAGTTACAACAGGAAAAGCAAACGGAAAAAGAGGGCCTTCAGGTTATTGTTCAAGAATAAGATCACAGTGAATATAGTGAAATTGATAGGTTCTATTGCAAAGATTCCTGAATCTGAAACATGTATTGCATGCTGGAAATGGTTGTGGCAGTGCCAGAGTTAAGGCGAAGGTTACATGTCAGCCACTACTTGCCTCACATTGACACAAAACTAGTAGTAAAAGCTTTTAGGTTCAGACAAATGAGAGCGCCACAATATAACTGACACCTTTTTGTGTGTGCGTGTCTCTCTCTTTCACTACATTTCTTTTGTGGTTGTTGGTGTCAAATCTTCCCTGGCTGCATCATATCTGGAATTGGTATGAAAAGCTTTCTTTATCTCTGCTTGCTTTTGTCTAAGTTCAGTTGTCATGTTACATAGTAATCTTATGTTGGTTGGTTGATTTATTGATCTGATCCATCTACTTCATTAGGGATAAACAAGCAAAAGGTTCTGAGGTGTTTTAGTATCTAATCCGGAAGAAAACTAGGTTGTCTTAATTTGTCTTAGCATATGTATATCTAGCCATAGACAGTTGAATTTTCATTGGTAGATCATTGATTTTGGTTGGATAATGCATTTGACAGAAAGGAATGCTATAAAATCTTAAAAGAATAGTTAAAAAAGAAAAAAGAATATTAAACCTTTCCAATAAATATCATTAAATGATAATGCCACCCTGATATTCACATTAAGCAAGTCTTGTGATAATGCCACTCTGATATCACAGTGGCATTGTCATTTAAGCATATCATTTACTTGTGATAAGGCCACTCTGATATGCTTAAAGTGAATAAAAATCATTACTTGTGATAAGGCCACTCTGATATGCTTAAAGTGAATAAAAATCATTTAAAGTCTTGCTTAAATGATAATGCCACTTTAAGCTGCTTAACATTGCTAACTTAACACAGAAAAATGCTCTGGCTATTATTATTATTATTATTATTACTATTATTGTTATTCTATTTTAGTCTAGTTGTTTGATATCAGATAGTGGAAAAATAGAGGCCACCAATGGGGTTATTATGTACTCTTGCAAGATAAGGCACTCTAACTGCATTTTGTCTATAAACTCCAGGACTGTTATGTTTGTTATCTAATAATTTTCAATTGCTGGAAGTCACAGTATTGAGTTATTCTTGGTTGTTTGCTTTCATAGAAAATTTAAAGAAAAAGTCTAGGATATGTAGACAGAAAAGAGGGGAAGGTTGAGATACCCATAAGGAGCTTCCTATAGTTGATGAACTTGCTGCTATCTACAAACTTCATATGTTAAGTTTCTCACTCCCTCTGCATGTGTTCGGCTCTCTTTGCTTTGTCTTGTTACTTTAGGACTTTTAGTATTGCTTTCTGTTCTTCGAAATAATAAAAATACCCAGATCAATAATATGCGTTGCTTTCTCGTCCGTTTGGATAATGTCCTGTTCTGGGGTCACATGTTGGTTTTTAACATGAAATGCAAATCAAGCTGATATCCAGAAACCAAGTCAGTGTTCTTTTGGCATTAATCTGGTCTTGAACCTTTCAGCTCAATTTCGATTGAAGGCTTAGATGAGGCTATTCTATGAAATATTTTAGACTAAAATACGCCCTTCGAGCACACTTTCCAAATCAAGATGCAGTAACCTGTTTTATCCAATGAATGCAAATTTTAACTTTATGCAGCATATGTTATTCAAAAGTGTGCTTCCTGCTGTTGCAGTATCATCATCGACAGCTAATTCTTCCTGAATACATGATTCTTTTATCTGTATCATTGGGTGGTGCCTGTAATATATCAAAATGCATCCGTTGGTTCTGTTTTGTCCATTTAACAAGTTAGTTGCCAGCAAGAATACTGTAGACATGTACATTGAAGCTCTGGAGGTGGAATTGCTATGTGGCATGTGCACAGGTCGACTTGGTGCTGGAGTGCCTCTTCTTACCTCACCATGTTTGCATCGGGCTTCTGCCCCTTCTGGATCAAAATTTAAACTCAGTGTTTTTCCTGTTCTACTCAATTCCCTCACTAGACCATAATCTCTATCTGAAATCCATGCCCTATAAATCAACTCGACCACATCAAAGCTTGATGTTTGATCTGTATTTGGATATAACAATGGTAACAAATAC